AAACTGATTTTCTAGAAATCCGGTCTCTGGAGGCCTAAGAGCCCAAACGGATATCATATTCGGATTCAGCATAGTCGACTACCTATTGTCCACTAAATTTCGAAAAAAAAGCGATTGCACACTTGGGAACTTTTCCTCGTAAGATAAAGGCAACAAAGTATCATTGTAGCTTTGTGTTTTTTCTTGTTTTGTGAAACTCCTCCCGTCTTACAAAGTAGAGGGAGTTTCAGTTTATACTCAAAAACCAGGCGTATACTAGTTAATTTGGACACCCCCCTGCTTACATGCTGTTAAAAAGTACCCTTATGCGATCTTAAAATGGCCTTTACGCGAACTGAAAAAGACTTTAAGCCACCTGAAAAAGACCCTTACGCGATCCGAAAACTTTTACGCGATTGATATTGGTACCTTTACGCGATCTTAAATTGTGTTTTACACGATCTTAAAGTGACCATTACGCCATCTTAAAGTTATGCACATCTTTTAGAGACATTGACTTGTAATTAGATGTGTATGACACCATCTGAAGGATGGCTTTACATGATTTAACAGTGCTTTTATGCGATGTTATTTCGATCTTTGGTTTATATTTACCCTCTATGGGTTTTTATGTTACTCGATCTTGAAAATACCTTTACACGATCTTAAGAGAGGCTTTAGTTGATCTTACAAAAGTAAGCTGATTTATTCTATAACGGTATAATTATGAGTTTCACATTTTAGCACCGATAGGTGCTACCCTGACAAGGTTTGCGAAAAACATTTAATTAAGTTCTTAATCAAAACTTATTTTTAATGAAATTATCATGAATGGTTTGACTTCGAGACAGAATATATCCCAGATATATGCAAGGATTGGATTATCTCAAAAGCTTAATAGAATATGTGGTGCTTTAAATTTTTGTGAATAAATTTATGAATACCTCGTTTAGTGTAGATTGTATTACGAAATTTTGTTGGCATACTAATTAAAAATGTGGTACCATCTGGTGTGATGGCTTCATGCAAATTATTGTCACGAGGTGCGACGATCTATAGAAGAAAAAATCAAGTTAACCTTTTTAAGACAGTAACTTTTTAACATACCTTCACTACATACGATTTTTCATCGGGTAAGATGTACTTCTCAAATGCTTCGTTCACTACATATTTCTTTTTTGTTGCAGCAGGCATATTTTGAAATGAATGAAAATTGCTCGATATTCCGTTGAACATGAATCTGAAGCAAGTTCTGGTTGATCGAGTACTAAATTTTGTAAATTAGGAAAAAAGTTAATTAAATCAAATGAATATAATGAAAAAAATTAATTTATTATTCCTGGTGTATCATCATCATTGAATAAAGAAATTTCACGAAGAATTTTTTAATTTATTAAACATTTATTTTCCAAAAATTGTAAACGTCGAATTGATCGAAGATTAAATGATGTACGATTACGAATTAATTCATCAAAACGACCATCTTTTGTTAATAAATGAAATGATGAGAATAATTCATTAGGTCAATTTTCAATAGTTGTTTGAAAAACTTGTTGATCATCAATCGATGTTTTAAATCGTTTATTTAATCTCTCATTCGAATGATTAACTTTTAATTTTCGTCTTTTTAAAGCACTTTTAATACCATAATATGTTAATTGTTCACTTAACATTATTTTAACAAAACAATTATTGATTATTTTTATCTAGAAGAAAATTAGTTTTAAAACTTCAACAAAAACTAAATATTATTGTTTGAATATCGTCACGTGATAAATACATTCTTTCAATTGGATTAAATATTTTCGCGTTAAAGAAAAGGTGTCGCACGTATCACTTGGAGTATGAAAAAAAGATTTATTAATCAATAAACTTCAGAGACTGTAAGTTAGAAATCTTTACTGTTTTTCCTTCAAATAAATATTAAAAAAACCGGAAAGTTAATCACTAAATATATCACGATTGAAAAGTTTTTCTATCATTCTGATTAATCATATGATTGATTCACCAAAAAAGCTTTATAAGAGAACAATAAAAAGATATCAAAATATTTCAAGATAATAAGTATTTTTTAGTGCAATGAGACATCTACTATTGAAATATATTGTACATCAAGAAAGAATTTATTTAATCATTTAAGAAAAACGAACATATTATTTACAAATCATTTTTTAAATTTAGTTTTTTATTTTTATTTAACTTTTTATAATAAGCGAGAAAAACTTTTGAATCTTTTAAAGAAGTGCAAACATTCCATAATCTGGAAGCACCTGTTAAGAGTCCATCAAAACCCCACTCATCAGCATTCGACGTGAAGAAGCATGGACCACCGCTAAAACCATAAGTCGATGGTGTATCGATGTATATCTTACGGCCATCAATTAATCTTAATTTGCCTGTGCAATTCATGAATTTTTGTATATGGAGAAGATTTGATGGTGTTTTTCCATTAATTGTGCTAATACTCATTAATGGTATGACAGAAGAAAAAAAAGGATCGATAATAAGATCAAATGATAGTGGAGCACGATCAACATAACCAGTTATATTTATAGAACTATGTGATGTTGATTGAATATTATGCAATATTGGTTTACATTCTTCTAAATATCTAAACGTGTTTGTTTGGATGTTTGAGCATTTGATCAGCCCTAAAAGGATGTATATATAAACATACTGATAGTAAACTGCATGGTTTAGGTTCTTTCAGAATAGATGAATACTTACCGATATCATCCCACCAAGTATATGATAACACAAAGTTAGACGAGATTAATTCACAATAAATTTGTAATGCTTCAGATCTGATATTGATTTTGTTATCTGATAATAAAGTTATTTGAAAAGATGAATTAAGGAGAAATGGATAAATTACTAATAGAACATAGTAAACCAAACATGAACAAATAATTATATATAATATTAAACCACATAAAATTTTACATAGATGTTGGTAAACAATAGATGAATAATAAATAATTACTGGTGCAATTGCTACACAAATCATTAAAAAAGAAATTTTCATGAATGTTGACAAACTTAAATCTAATTGAGGTACCACAATATGAAAAGCTGTTAGAATAATAACATATGGTTCATCATTATCAATCGATTTATAAATGACAATTCCTGTGCCAACTAATTCTTCAGCAAAAGCAAAGGATAGATATTTGGGTTTGTATTTATGAACAATTTTCAAGATGCAACGTGACATAGGTGCGGTAGTTTTGACCTCACTACATGAACCTAGTATCTTATAAGTTTGATCAACTTCTGCAAAATAACGATAATTGACAGGCGGTGTTGGTAATCGATCGAAATCATTATTGGTAACACTTTCTCTAAATGATAACAATAGAAAAAACAATAGATTTATGATAATAATCATTATCTAAAAGATCGAAATGTATAATATAATGCAAATAAAAACAATTTTCGTCATTTTCTATAAAATGTCATTTTTGATATACATCTCTTTTTGTTTTATTCTTCATTAATCAACTAAGTGCCATCATTAAAGTACTTTGTCTAATCGTTGTTTCCTTTTGGCTCTAAAAAATGGCCGACTCCAAAACGCAAAATGTAGTTTACGGACGATATCTGATTCGCTGCCAACGATTGGAAAATTACGGCATTCAATTAAATTCGCTCAGATTAGAATTATCCTCTTTTCTGATTGGTTTGTGCTATTTCAGTGAGAGTGTAACGACACACTCATTTATTCTTTTCTTTTACCTTAAGAATTTTCGGTCATGATAAGATACAATGAATCGATTGTAAAATGACGAAATCGCCATTGCAATAAAATGAACGAGAACCTCTATAATTGTTTTTAATAAAAATACGTTAAGTAATTAAAAAATTGACCGTTCGATAAGAATATGGCTTTTAATCTTAAAAAAGCACTTTTTGTTCAAATGCACTACAGACAGCGCTAGTAACTGTGAAAAACAGTAGCGCAATTCTTGTGAAAATTCCAGCTGGCATGAATTTGTTTCCGTGATTTCAAATTTCTTGTTTTACTTTTAAATTAGTTTATTATGGATTTAGAAAATGTCAGAAGGGTGTTTCATAAAAATTCTTTTTGGAATTTTTATGAAACACCAAAACAACAGCGAAATGAACAGTTTTTTTCTTTTTTATGTTGTCTCGCAACTATACCGAAACTATAGTTAGTTCTAGCCCGGTTAAGCTTTTAGTAAAATCGGTCTTAACATTGAACATTGATGAAATGCATAACTTAGTCCGGGGCACTTCTCTATCAATGCTTCTTCTGATCAATATGGTTCCTGCAGACTCTATGCTTGCTTGTTATGTTATATAGATGATTCCTTTCTGCGACTGCAAATTTAGGTGATCTATAGTTAGATAAATATTCTGGAAACGCTGATTATTTGAGGATATGACTGTTCTATTTATAGTATGCCTCATGGGCGCACAAGCGATAATTAAAATTGCATCCGATACATTTGCGTTTATGGTATAGGTGACTCATTCTTGAATAAACCTATTCTGCGTAATTTGTAGAGTATCCAGTGCGTAATCGAATGCTTTGTGTATCTGTCTAATCTAATGTAAATCATTTACGGTTGTTCAGTTATAATAAAGGTCAATATAGCAAATGTTTTAATACAATAATTATTGTTATGTGTCCACTCATATTTATTTATATTAATTCTTAAGCGAACATAAATCGTCTACACCTTTTTGGTGCTCACTAAATACTGTCGTCAAAAAGCTTATCGTCGAGATAGTAAATGTTGCAGAATAAGTAACAAAATTTTATCTTCTAACCAAGAAAACAGCACGTTGGAGATAGAAATTAAAAGAAATTTTGATGCTGTGGCTATTTTGATCAGACATACTTTTTATTTTTGTGAAATCAAATTTGATCAATTTTTTTATGTAAAAAGAATTACAAAAAAATATCACACAAAACATAATAAAAAAATATTTTTTCACATTTAAACAAGTGAAATAGAAAGAAAAAAATTTATCAGAAACCATGCATGGTATAAGAAAACAGTATAATACCTAAAAACAATTAAACATTCACTCGAATTAAAAACACAACGCTTTTTGACGATGTACAAAAACAATCAGCAATTTCAGCATTTGTACATTTTGTTTTTTGTGTATAAGGGTTTGTTTTGTACGAATAAAAATCATTTCGCTTTTCCAATTTCAACACCGTAATTGAATCAGTAAATCGGCTTATTAATAATAATAATAATGCATGTGGCTGATAATGAATAATATTGCCTTCAGCATCATTTAATTCAACGTTTAACTCCAAAAATTCATCATATGCTATGGTTTGTAGAAGATACGATAATATTTTGGGTGAATGATAATGTCTTTGTGAATAAATGTCAAGCATAATATCATTATTTAATGAACAACCGCACAGTGAACAATCGCCATTAGTTTCATGTAAATTCGTTGTAATTGGTATAGCCACATGATCATCTGCCGTAGCATTCGCATTTTTCTTTTGATATAAATAAATTTGTTGTTTTCGACATAATAATGATTCAGAATGTTTTCCACAGTGTGCACATACAAAACTTGTTGATACATCTGACGATAATAATTCTTTTATTCTTTTCAAACTTGGGTTATTTTCAATAGCATGGACAGCATCAAACAATGATTCACACGAACCATCGACAAAATCACAACCATCATCTGTGAATCCAGTTGAACAACAGCGAATAATTGGGTTAATCATATTAACGTCTAATGATCGTCGAACACGTTCTAAAATAATCACTTGGCTATGTGCATAAAGTTCACATAAATCGGCACCTTCACCTATAAGCTTTGTTGAAAAACTGGTCGACCATTTCTTGTCGATTTTTGTTATTCGAACTAATTTATTCGACGTGCTAAATTTCTTAAGTGAAATGAATGTTGTTAAATCAAATATACATTTTGAATTTATACAAATATTAATAACATCATTGTATGGATATAAAGAAAAGACTTTTCATGGTTTTCGAGAACATCGTTTTATTGTTGTTGTTGTTTGATCATTGATTGTTAATATCAAAACATCAGGCCAATTTAATACTTGCATTCGTCGTACCATTATATCTGAACATTTTTTACAGTGCCGATCTGACGCTGCACCATGAAAGAAACTGGTTAATTCTCTCTCGAGTGATAGTTGACCATTAATAACGTTGATTGGTATATATTTGTAGACGACTAATACACGTAATTTAATCCCACAATTTGTGCAATAATACCATTTTATTGCTTGAAGTTGGCTATTGATAATTGGAAGAAGAATTTGTTTCAATATAGTCTGCATTTGTTCATATGGATCGTCGCTAACACATCCGATACCTACTGCAAATTGGGTTTTCATTGCTTTTGTTGTTTCCTTTCGTTTTATTTTTTTCTCATATAAACCAGTACAATAATGATCGATGAAGATGGCTATTTCTTTTAATAAAGGTGATAAATTTGATTGTGTTGACAGTGTTCGACGACGAATACTCTCCATAGATAATAACAACGTGACTGCACAATTTAACCATTCTGGCAATAATTGAGGTAAAGATAAATTGTCGTTAATCACAGGTGGATTTGCCAAACTTGACGTCATATGGTTCATAATGTAATCTTCTGGTTGTTTTGTATAAAATCCACAGCCACGTTTATTAATTGATAATTTATTCCAATGTTCTTGCAATAATTTTATTTGTTGATGTCGATTTTGTGTATTGTCGATAAGAGTAGCTGTTTTGGCTGCTAATCCAATTTGAAATGATTCAACCATTTGGTTCATATCTTCAATCAAAATAGTCAAAACCACATCTGGTCGTTCATGGACTACACCACCTAAACGACATAGACATACACACAAACAAAGAAAATTAATTTTGGGTGTGCTTTCTCGCATTTCAATCTTGAAAAAGAAAAAGCCCGTTTTATATGTAAAATAGTCCGCTGTCTTCTTTTAGTCGGAAATAATAGCCGATAATAACAGCTAAAAGAAGGATAGGTAAAACTTTTGTCGAAAATAGTCCAATAACTAACAGGAACATTGTGGAAAGCTGATACTTATGGTACACAGGTAATTCAACGTGAAGGATCTGATCGAGCTGATTCTAGGTTTTGAGGGTTCTTCAGAGAGTGTCTAGGAAACCTTGTTGTTGTTAGGAAAGTTGACTTCTGTTGAAGAAAATTGAGAATTATGAGCAGAATTCTGGCTTTACAGTAACATTTCTATTGTCAAGTTACCCTAGGACACTTTTTTCTCTGTATTATATATATATATATCAAATTGTAGCTTGAGAAATTCTCTATCAGACGAGATATTGTTTGAATTTTTTCGTTATGCTATTATTTTTTAAATTAACGTTAATTAGCACTAATTAGTTATTAACAGAAAGGAGAAAGCAAAAGTCTTTTCTTCCTTTCCCATAGTAAATATTCTTTGCACATTTCTCTGTCGATCTAGATGAGAACCAAATTTTTATGATGAAAGAGGAACGGCCAGGAAACTTTTTAATAGTAGCCTGTGCTCAAAAATTTAACATCATTTTTTTAAGTAATTAATTTTTTTCCTAGCCAAATAATGTCAGTAAGCCCAAAAAACTTCAGAATATATACTTCAAAGTGTCCTCTACAAACTGGGAAATCTTAAAGAAAATCTAGACCTTCTCCTGAAAGAAAAAATTCTTACCAGTATGTGAGTTTGTTGAGATGGAATTGTACTTTCTGGTGATGAGCGTTGGCGTGAATAGAATGACGTATTGTTAAATGGAGATGGAGATATTGGTATTGCAGTGGATGGGTAGACACTTGTTTGCTGAAATGTCTTTTTAAGAATGATAGAGTGAATAATATTCGATGTTGATAATCCAATCTTAGAAAACAAAAAAATAAAGTTTATCACACATATGGACAAGAACCATTCGTAACAACACGACATGAGTAAAACAGCACAGCTATTGGCTTTTATGCGATTATTTGTTCAAATTAAAAGTCAGCTTAACCTTCTACAAACTTCCACTCAAAACCTCGGGTCCTGGCTTGTAAACGGTCATTTTGAAAATAAGAGGACAGAAGAGGATGTTCTAAATTTTTTTTCAGAGGATTACTGTCGAAGAAAGATGAGAACAAAGAGAATTTTTTCCGATCTAGAAGTGTATTGTATGTCTTTATGCGTATTAGTATGCTCGGAGGTGATAAGATACGGCACTGCTGAGATATTCACCTAATTTATTCACGATTTCACACACAAAAAATACACGTTGTTTGCCCTACCATATGAAAGTTCTTTTATAGGGCACCTTTATAATCATGAAAATAGACTATTTTCTTTTAGAGACGTTTCGTCTTTATTCAAAAGACATCATCAGTCAAATGTGACAGACGTTAGTTAATTCAAAATAAAAGATAAAATGAAATACGTATATGTAGTACACATATATGTAATACATTCAGTCGTCATATATTGTGAAAAAAGGAAAAGTTGTATTTTATCGATTTTGCGTTCTACATATATGTATTTCATTTTATCTTTTATTTTGAATTAACTAGCGTCTGTCACATTTGACTGATGATGTCTTTTGAATAAAGATGAAACGTCTCTAACAGAAAATAGTCTATTTTAATGATTATAAAGGTGATTTATCTCTTATTCTCTGTATTGAAATTCTTCACCTTAAAAAATGACTCAAATATATCTAAAACTATATTTGAATCTAAAATTGCTAAAACTCAGGCATTTTTGTAACAAAATCATCGAAAAAGAGGAAAAACGACCGGAAACGAGGACAAAGAGGATGGGCTCTGAGAAAAAGAGGATCATTCACAACCCAGTTTGCGTCTTTCAGATAAAGGTTTTTCCAAAATTCTATTAGGTTTTTTATATCGTATTTCTTGTTCGAGAAAAGTGAAAAAGAGAAATCTTTTCTACAAGAAAAGATTTGGTATTAGACTGGAAAGTCAGTTTATACCCACAAAAACCTTTTTCTCGTGGAGCATACCACTTACCGGAGTTGAGGTGAACACGGAATTTAAGTGTGGTACAGTACGAATTCCTGGTAGATTGGTTTGTGGGCCAATAATGATTGTACTTTTGGAATGATGAGCTGGAACAGAAAGAATCACTTTTTGTATAAATCGAATAGATAACCAATTTAGAGTGAAGTGCGTACGTTGTTTTTGAACACCACTTTTTCTTAGATAAGCTAACAGATACACATTTTTCTTTTCATCCAATACTTGTGATAAGTCAACATCAAATTTGAGTTGACTATCATTAATGTACAACCACGTGTTATTCGACAGCCTGATGTATATTGAGAAATGACCATATTCTAATGTTTCACCATCATGCA